CGAGTGGGCAATTTTGCGTAAATGTTTGACGCTTTTATTCCATAAAAATGCGGAAATTAATTTCTAAAGGGTATCTGCATTTCATGTTCACGTCTGTATTCAACCAAACAAATATTCGGTAAATCATATTCATTTCGTCAAAAGAGACCTAGGAGCTCTGACCAGTTTTGCGTACAAATTTAAAAGAAAATTACCTACATTTCAATACAGTTGAATTGGAATGTTGGCTTACAAACGTTAGTCACAGGTGAAAAAAACAAGTATAAATTGTGCACAACTCTTGTGCAGATACAGCGCATTTTTTTAAATCGAAATAGCTTAGTAAATGGTTGGGTCGAGGGTTGGGTTATAAGGTAGTAGCATGCTATCAATGTTTACTTTCTTAGTAGATAATTAGGAGGAGAGTCTTTACACATAAACATTTAAATGTCGCCTGTTTTCCGACACTCCATTCTGCAGATATTTGCACTGAAAGCTTTGACGCCACCAGTAGATAAGTCTCATCCTCGGTCTCATCCTGTCTCGTCCTGACGTTCGACTTGCCTTTTATGAGTTCCTCCGACAAACCGTTTTCGAGATATTCGCTATTAGAGTTTTGAGTTCCCCAACGGATCTATTTCTTCCAGACCTCCCAATCGCCCTTTGTAAGTACGTACCGAGGTACGTACCCTCTTCCGACAATTCATTTTGGAAACATAAGGGAATATTTCCGATCACGATAAGTGGTCGAGGAGGAAGCTGGTTGGTAGAAATTAATTCCTTTCGTTGAGACCTTTCATTAGAGTACCATGAAGGATAAAACCAGCCCCTCCCCTCCGCTCCAACTCTCTCTTAAGGGGTCAGAAGAAAGGCGGTATTTTGTAGAAAACGGTTGCTTTCGTTGAGACCTGAAATTAAAATACCATGAAGAGTAGAACGTGTGTTTACCCGCGTGTGCCCCTTCGCTAGTTTCATAATTTTATACGTACCAAAATAGGCACCACTTGGAGATAATAAAAGCGCATTTTAATAATATTCTTCCCGAACATCAATCTGGCTTTAGAAGGGGATACAGTTGCGAAACGGCATTACTTAAAGTTACTGACGGCATTTTGTCTGCTGTCAACGAGTCCAAGTTTGTAGTCTTAATATTATTGGACTTCTCCAAAGTGTTTGATACGATTGGTCATGATATCTTATTAGCAATAGTACATTATATTGGCTTTGACCCGAATTCTATTACACTTCTCCTTCATTATTTAATAAACAGGAGCCAATTAGTTGACATTAATGGGAAGACTTCAACAATGATTAATTTGCGATGTGTTACTTTCTTAAATTACGCTGAACAACATTCGTTACATATTAACCCCAGTAAATGTAAGTTGCTATTATATGGTGCATCACAACACAGCTACTCGTGCCGAAGTTTCCTCACTCTTAGATATAAGAATCGGAAATAAAAAATTAGAGTTGGTTCAGGAAGCCAAAAATCTCGGGTTAAGCTTAAACGTCAATTTCAATTATCAAATGCATATCAAAAATTGTTCACAACGGGCGTTTGCTGGCCTTAGATATATACATCGAATTAAACGTTTACTTTCTCACAATTCAAAAATTATGCTCTGTCAATCACTCGTGCTATCCCATTTCTCATTTTGTAGCGCAGTGTATGGCCCCTGTCTTTCTAAATTTCTTGAAAGAAGAATACAGATTGTTCAAAATTCATTTGTTCGTTTAATTTACGGAATTAGGAGATTTGAAAGGGTTTCTCACAAGTTAAAGTGTATACCATGGCTAAACATGGAAAAAAGTCGACTTCTCTACTCTGCCACTGCATTTCACAAAATTATCTTGTTTAAATCACCACCTTATTTATATAATAAAATTACATTTCGAACAGATGTTCATAATATTAATGTTCGTCAGAAAGATTTGATTACCATTCCTAACCCGAGTCCTAACCATAACTTACCTAGAATTATTTAAAAAGTCATTTTCATACAATATAGCCAAGATCTATATAACTCACTTTCGTGGAACGTTAAACAATTAACACCATCTAAATTTAAACAAAAAGTTTACCACGATTTTTTAACATCTTAGTTACTAATCTACTTTCAAGTTATTCTGTTTCTAAATTTTATTTGTGTATTTTTTTTTGTTAATTTAGACCATCAAAATTTTTTATTAATTTTAGTTTGCTATTAAACGGGTTAAGTGGAAGAGCACAAAGGGCTGCATGCCTCTTAGTGAACTTCGCCTTTTGGACGCCAAGTTGTATGTATAATATTGGTATTGTTTATACAGGGTGGTGCCTAGCGCGACGCAGCATAGGGATTTCAATGTTAATTTCTTTGTAGCCAATTACTAGTTCATTATTATTTTAGAGTAGTAGTCTAAATACATTTTTTTTAGAAAAAAAATATTGCATCTGTTCAAACTATTACTTATAATTTTCCGTTTCTCAAAAACGTAAAAATCGACAAAATAAAACGGAAAATTATAAGTAATAGCACAGATCTAAACACTTTAGATCTGTGGTAATAGTACGTGTAGGGATAGCTGTAAGTTATATTCATGTATGATAAGTTGCATAATGTATAAGGATGTAGGGGGGAGCATTCCGTATTGAGTGGTAATAAAGAGAACTTACAAAAGTTTGGAGAATATTTAATTACAATTACAATTACATTACGTTATGTAACGTAACAGTACGTACAGATGCAGTATTTTTTTCTCTAAAAAAAAACGTATTTAGACTTTTGCTCTAAAATAATTAGGGAAGCTAGTAATTGACTATACAGAAATTACCATTGAAATCCCTATGCTGCGTCGCCGAGTGCGTCGCGCTAGGCACCACCCGGGGTATTTGTCATAGTGTGTCCAAATAAAGTCATTATTATGATTATTATTATGACATTTGTTGAGTTATGTATGTTATGTTCTGTGATTGTCTGCCTAATTTACATACAGAGTGGCCCAACGAGAAGTATACAGAGGGCTTTTAGGGTATTAAATTTAGAAATTTCGAAAAATCCTCGAACACGTCAATTTTGTATTCGAGGGGGTTTTGGAATACAAATCACGAACCCAAGTCTTCACCCCTCTACGTAGGGAGCTTAACCCCTAAAATTTTAAATGGAATCCTATGGCAAATGGCACATTATTTGAAAGCCAATTTAATCGTGATTACTAATCTGCTTTGCTTTTTAAATTCTATTGAAAAATAAATTAATCGATATTATTTTCGTTTTGGACGAGATAGATAAAAATTGCCTTTTTTGCATGGCCACCTCACTATTATGTAAATTACATTTAAGATTAGAATATAATAACCAGGAAAACCAAGATGTTTCGAAAACTATCAGAGATAGGTATAGGCTCGGGTATAGGACATTATTATCAAAAGTTGAAGGTTTTTGGAGGAGCTAAAAGATGCCAGAAAAATATACAGGGTGTTCCATTTAAAAAAAGGGAGATTTTTTAATACGAAGTTTTGTAACTTTAGATCTAGAAAAAAACACCTTGGTAGCTATTTTTTTAATGTTTTATAGTAGATGTATTTATTTGACTTTTACTTTACCCAGGATAAAAGTTATAAAACCTGGAATCAAAATTTAACTAATAATTTTGACAATATACCTACTGACGCTTGCAAATGCCCAATTTTTCTTAAAAATCGAATTATCTTTAAAACTACTAGCTCTTTGGATATTAACCATATAATAAAAAAAGACGTACAATTACGCGTAGAATTCAAAAATGCATTTAAATACAGGGGGTTCTATTTTTAAAAAATCCTGAAAAAATGTACCACTTGGGCGCCCTACTTTGTGAGCGCACCCTGTATAATTCCAAATATTTTTAAAATGTGGAGAATATTCAACCATATCATAATACAAAAACACTCTATCGAAAAATCTTATCTTCAAGGCATTAAGTTACTCAGCGCAATCGTTGACTCACCCTGCACATATTAAAATTTTTCCTAATGAAGGTATTTTGGAAAAGATCAATTCGGTTTTACTGCTATAAATAGTGTCGGAATCCTTCAGAAACGTTGAAAATGAGAAATACTTTGAAAATAGAACAATTTCGGTTTTGTTTCGTTTTAGCATTGAATAAAAACACTATTTTTATTCATTGGTTTTAGATAAACTGCTGTGAAAATTCACTGTGTAATTACGCAAATTAGTATTTTGATAAAAGTTTTGGCAGTAGCCCATGTTTAATCATTTGACGCAAATAACCTTATTACTTTTTTGTTAAAGGTCATTCGCTCGGTCCTTCCCTGTGTGGTTGTATTATTAAATAGGTATATTAATCAGCTCAACCCCTCACCTTCTCCACTGTAAGGTAATTACATAAATCTGTGTCTGCGTCACACAATTATATAGATCTGGAAAAAAATAGAATAGAAAATGGAATCGAATAAGAACTTCCCAAATATTCTACCTGGAACGACATAATTTGTTTCGGCCAAGTCGCAGGTAATCTTAGTGTTGCACCAAAATAAACTGCATTTAGTTCCTTGCAGGACACTCATACTTTGTCAAAACCCATATTTTTACTTCGGGTGTATTTCATTCGATTCCAACTATGTACTTACCACACGTTTGTTATCGTTGACCAAAAGGTGATGTAGGTACTCAAAATAAATATTGCCTCATTTCATAGGCGCAAACAAGTTTAGATTTAATTTGAACGTGGCTCTGGTCACTCTAAAGGGAATAAAATGTTAAATCAGTGTCATTATTGAAAAATATTTCAATTCGTTTATGGCGTATGCGTAAGAAATTTATGTTGTAAATAACTTCAAAGGAACCTAGTCATTGGTCTATTAATCATAAAAATTTTAATCCTACTTGGCCACCCAAAAAGTATATTTAAAAAATATAACTACGCGCGATCCATCTTCAACTTTCTACAGTAGCTGTAAACTTAATCCTAAATAATCTCTTTTTCTTTTAAAAAAATCTATTTTGATTTCCAACCGGCACGCCGAATAGTAAAACAAATCGTAAATATAAATTTTATTTATTTGACGTAGTTTTACGAAGTCTTTAAGTATTATATCTAACAGTCTCGAATTATATAGTAAGTAACTTAATAAAAGTTAGGGTGCATATGTACAGTCTTAAAAATAATGACTAATAAGCGTTTCGTATTTTACATTAAAAGAGATAATAAATAATCATTTACTATATACAAAATTTACACATAGAAATATTTGGAATAGGTATTATAAGCTTCACAAGTAAGATCACGTAGGTAATTAAAATAGAAGTTCAAAATTTTTTATCTATAAGTCACTTACACAAAATAAGTCCTCGGCTGGGTTTGCGAGTCGGGAATGGTGGAGTAGACGTGATGCGGTTCCCGGAACTGGGTTGGAAATTGCGAATACTGAGGTGGCCGCCCGTCGATGGAGACGTAGCTGTGATTCAGCTGCTCAGATCCGTAGTGCTGGCTGCTGGTGCTCGAGCCGGCTTCATCTTCTGTGCTTCGGGCCGATTCGCCGGATACGTAAGTGCTTTGGGTTGGAGTTGGAGTAAGTGCGGTTCCATGGATGCGTGGCATGGTGGAGTATTTGTACCACGAATCGGGAACGGTGGGTGCTGCGGTGTATCGGGCGTTTACCTTGCACCTGATGTCTGACGATTTCTTAACTCTAGATGACCTATTGTTTACCACATCGGGCATGGCGTATCGTAACTTCTCCCAAAAGCGCCGCTCTCCCCATCGCGTAACTGAGCAGGCTCGGAGGAGCACTCTCAGTTCGGAGTCCATGGGTTCTAACGGGTCGCCGTTGAGCAAACATACCAGCTTATGTCTGTGTATGTTGCGCAAGGCGGCTTGGAGTGCTGATCGGAAATCGGGACGTAACCACTCATTCGCGATGAATCCTGGGGATACAACCAGAAGAACCCGTCGCGAGGCGTCGGCCGCACCCACCATCGCGTCACTTAAATAGGAAGCACTGTTAAGTAAGTGGAGGTCGCGGTAGTGTAAACATAGGGAGTGGCCCGACTGTTCGAGTTCTGGAGCAATTGCTCGTGTAACTAAGTCTTCATCTTTGTGGCTGTAGATCATGTAACAGTCGTATAAGCGATCGCGATCGTCGTTGGAATTTATATTGGCGCTCTCTTGAAAAATGCGAATCCCGTATTTAGAGTGTGCCCACAAGCGAACGTCTTGCCGAAAAACAAACACAACGGCTGCAAAAAGGCACACGATTATAACGGCAACTAGAGTTGCTGCCAGGAGCGGTACGTAATTTCCACCGAGAAGCGGATTTGTCGTGACAATTTCCCTTTGTATTACAGATGTCGCAATAGCGTTGCTGTTTGTATTTCCACAAAGAGTAATTGCATCCAAAAGCGTACGCTGATTACCTTTGTCAGCACAAAACATCTTTTCTAGGTTGCCACCCGTCTCGCGAATCCATGATAACAGACGTCCTAGAGAAGCACAGTCACACGACCACTTGTTGCCGTCTAAAGTTACGCGCGGAGTAATTCCCGAATCGACTGGCGGCACCAGTTGTTGCCAAGGTGAAAAGTTCACGATTTCATTGTCATTTAACTTTAGCACTTCCAATTTCCGCATACTTGTAAAAGTTTTATTACCGACGTACGAAATTTTATTGTGGTCGAGATATAATTCATTTAGCTTTTCCAACTGATCGAATTCAAACCCTCGCAGTTCTTCCAATTTATTATTTTCCATGTGTAGAACTTTTAGCGATTTTACACCATTAAAGGTTCTATTATGAAGCGCGTCGATGTTGCTATTGTTCAAATACAAAACCTCTAATTTTTTCTTGCCAATAAATACGTGACTGCCGAGCTCGCCCAAATTGTTGCCATCGAGATAAATTTCAGTAGCGTCCATGGGAATTTTAGTAGGGACGCTAGTGTAACCTGCATTGCTGCAATCGACTACGTTTGATGTCCATGTGTGGTCATGAAAGCACGTACAGTTTGTGGGACAGGTCATTTCGCAATCGCACGCATCAAAATCACAGCAGTGACATAATGCGAAACAGTGCGTTTCGTATGGACACAAAAACTGGGACGGTTGTAAATCAAGCAGGGGCTGCGGTGGTGCTCCTCTGGAATGCGGTAATTCACAGCTGATCGAGTCGAGATCTAAGACCTGGGGATACTGCCGCGAGCTGCTCATGTGATTGACGCGTAGCAACCACTCCATCGTACAATCACAGTAAAATGGATTCCCACCGATATAAAATTGCGGCAAATCTTGATTATCGTCCACAACACTTAAACTAAGCGCTTTGAGATCTAAATATCGAATTTCGTTGCCATATAAAACGACTTTTTGCAGACGAGGCTTCTTGTAGAACGCACCCGATTGCACACTGGTTATTTTGTTGTTATTCAAAAATAATGTTTCGATATTGTCCGGTACCGAATTTTCTTGAATTTCGGTGATAAAGTTAAAGCTAACGTCTAACATTTTGATTCTAAGCGAATCTCGAACATCGTAGTAGTTACCTAAATCGGCTATTTGGTTATTGTGCATGTCCAACCACTCCAAACTTGAGGGTAAGTGGCTATAATCGAACCAAAGCAACTTGTTACCCGATACATTTAACCACACTAAACTTTGCAAGTTTGTAAACACCCCACTTATATCTGTCAGCTCATTACTGTCGAGTCGGATGGCTTTAAGTGTCGGATTACTCGCAAAGGCGCTCTGCTCTACATACTGTATTTTATTAGATGCTAAATTTAAAACTTGCAAGGAGGGCAGAGTTGAAAATGTGTCTCGTGAAACGTTAACAATGTGATTGTCGACTAGTCTTAATCCGTATAATGAATCCAATCCCTCAAACGAAGTATGGTTTATCGAATCAATGACATTTTTGCCTAAGTCTAAGGTTTTTAGAAATCTCAGTTTACCTAATCCCGATGGAACAACTCCGAGAAAATTTCCATTCAAACCTAAATCTTGGAGATTTGTTATGTTGTCAAAAGCTTGCGGGTGAATGTACTCTAATTTGTTCAAGTCAAGTAATAATTGATGCAAAGCGTACATTCCGAAGAAATGGTAGTTTTCAATCCTGACCATTTTATTATGAGATAAAGTCAGCGCGTGTAGATTTTTTAATTCCACAAACGCACCATCCGCAATGAAATCGATCATATTATGGTCTAAATTGAGGATTTGTAAACTGTAAAGGTCATGAAACACATTGGAATCGATTCGCGTTAACGCATTGTGAGCCAAGTTTAACACAACTAAGCGAACTAGACCTGAGAACGTATCGCGGTTAACCCAGCGCGTCGTCAGTTCATTGAAACATAAATCAAGCACCTCTAATTGATCTAACCCCTCTAATAAACCCGGTGCAAGAACACTAAGTGAATTATTTTCGATGTACAGCCGTTTTAAGTTTCGGGAAGATAAAAACATTTCCGGTGGCAGAGCGACTAAGCTGTTACTTGATAAATTGAGTGTTTGCAAAGAATTCAGGCCTACAAACGCCCGATCTCCAATCGTAGCGATGGAGTTGTCTTGCAAATGAAGCTCTTCTAATGATCTCAAACCAGATAAACCGTTATCGGGCACTACTAGGATGTTATTATAAGAGAGATCTAAAACTTTTAAACCGCTAACGCACGCATGACCAGGTGCCAACGGGCCGTTACCCCAATCGGAAAAACTCAACGCCAATATATCCTGAAGTTTGTTCCGCGTCAAATTTAATCTGGTTAAGCTGTACAGCGCACAAAATAGCTCCGAAGGAGTACTCCATATGTTGTTATCCCCAAGATCTAAACTTCGAAGTTCTCCCATTCCACGAAAACTTTCAGGATGAAGTTCCAACGTCATCGCGGACCAGTCGGAGTTATGAGATCGTAGAGAAAATCGTCTTAAATCTCTTAAAGCGGAAAGAACCGCGGCGGGTACATTACGAATTTTGCAATATTCAATCCGTAAGTCTTTAAGCCGACGTAAAGACGACAAGAAATTTCCTTGATGTTTATTCGGTTCCAGAGTACTTTCGAAAAATAAAACATCGCTACATTCTAACCTCAGAGACGTTACTCGTTCCGCTTGAAGTTGTGTTAAATTTCCTAATAACGCGTCGGCACCGGCGATCGTTCTTAATTGACAGGATAATACGGGTTCTTCGCTACTTAACGAATCTTCTAATGGTTGAATTTGCCACTCGCATCCTTTTGGCGCCTCGTCCAAACTGGTTAAGGTTCGACCACACACTAACACTGCATTTAAAAGTAGTATTAACAAAATCATTATGTCACAAAATTAGCGCACTAACGACGTTAACATCGAATACGAGCGAACTTAATCTCTATTCCGGAGCGTAACACAACTACTACAGTCTAAGCCCAAAGCGGAACTGTCGATCTGAATAAACACACTGTTGCTCAAGCCAAGAAATTGAGAGGGATGTCGGCTCCACCTCTTTTATTCCCCACTAAAGCGTATCAGGAGCACAGCTGCTCTAAAGCTGCCGAATTGGCGAATAGCATACGTAGGATGCAGTTGAAAAAGTTACAAAGTGGAAATTTCAAACTAATTTTCTGGAAGCCATGCCTGTTCTTATATTATGTACGCTTTATTTAACGTTTACTGCTATTGAAATAAGTGTTTTTGTTTATGTTTTCACACAAATTGGATTAATAACTGCAATATTTAATTTCTGCAGTACGAGATACCAGTAATTTGTAAATTATTTAATGCTTATAAAATCAATGAAAAAATAACTGTAGATATTTCAATTGCGATGACTCATTTTTGAACTCCTATAAAGGTGCAATTCTTAACCCTTTAGTTACTCGATAAACAATTCTGAATGTTGTATATTTACCTATATTATCTCCTACCTGAAAATGTTAAGGAATTGATAGTAATAGCTCTTGTAGAAAGAGTGGTTGAGCAGTAGAGGTGCACTAATAATGCTATATATCCAGAGTGTCTCTATCAAAACTTTTGGTTTCTCATTTACCTTACCTACTTAGAAGTTAGATTTGCAAATTATACCTATGTACATAATACCTCTTGCAACTTGCAAGTAGGTATACCTTATACCAATACCTATAACGTATTGCCATTGAATAAGATTTCTTATTGAATGGTATAGGTACATATAGCAATGATAACCTAATAAGTTTATAAAATTTCTAGAGGTATCAAAATCCTTTTCAGAGATTTCGAAAACGATACTACGTATAGGTATAGGTAGATATAAACAATATATCTATATAGGTCCAGTATCTGGAAAAATTCCTTTAGGTATCAAGTCCCTCTGGTAGATATTAGGTATAATTCATTTTGTCCACGACGACTAAGTATATGTATAGTATAGTAGATACCTAAGTAGCCTGGATTAAACGCAATGGAAACCGCATAGTCCCTATATAAATCGTGAAAAAAGTAGGTATCACTTTCCGTACGATTTTTCGTTAAAAAATGTCCGGTAATTTAATAAGTAGCAAAAAACGTATAAAATACCACTTTAATATACCTACGCATATAAATCGTATATCAATGGGAAATAATAAACGCAATAATATTCCAACAAGAATACAGCAACATCCGGACATTTATGCGTAGCTAGGTATTATACGGGGTGTCAATTTTAAAACTTGCGCAGTCGGCCCATATTTTCCAAACTAGAGAAGATATTGAAAATCCCGCAAAACCGTTCCAGGGGTATCGAGGAGGAACCAGAATGACGTTATGAGTGACAATCCCCCACCCACTCCCCTTAACCTCCCCAGCCCCCCTCTTCAAAAATCTTAAATGGCAACCCCATACTTGTGACACATCGTTGGAAAGCTACTAAAAATGCAGTGGTACCAATAAGATGAATAGGTATTTATTAAGACAATTTAACAAAAATTTAATAATTAACAAAAGAAACTAAATGCTGACATTGAGGGATTTATGGCAAATTGGGCAAGAACTTCAACCTGAGCTGCTTCATTAAGCAATCTTGGTTGCTTTCTTTTTTTATTGAGTTACAGAAATAATATTCATTTATGGCTCCGAAAATCCATCATCTTTTAGAATAGCTGGAACGTTTAATGCTCGGTTTAATGAGAGACATCACGGGGGAAATGTGTCATGCCTATGTTCAAGATTTGGTCGCTAAATTCGAAGAAACGGGATCTGTTATCAATAAAAAAAGAAAGCAACCAATATTGCTTAATGAAGCAGCTCAGGTTGAAGTTCTTGGCCAATTTGCTATAAATCACTCATTGTGAACATTCACCTAGTTTTTTTTTTGTTAATTATTAAATTTTTGTTACATTTTCTTAATGAATATGAATATTGGTACCACTGGAAAGCATTTTTCAGTAGCTTTCCAACGATGTGTCACAAGTATGGGGTCGCCATTTAAGATTTTTGGAAGAGGGTGGGGGCTGGGGGGTTAAGGGAGTGGGGGTTGTCACTCATAACGTCATTCTGGTTCCTCCTAGGTAACGGTTTTGCGCGATTTTTAATATCTGCTTTAGTTTGGAAAATATGGCCGACAGCAAGTTTTAAAATTGACACTGTATACGTAAGGTTTTAGTCGACAATAAACGCTTTTTATACGGAACTGTGTTGCATAAGGGATGTGTAATTATCTCGATACTATTTATACTGATAGCTACTAAACCTTACATTCAGAATAGAGTATAGATACCAACCTAAATTAGCTACTAGGTATACTTACCTACGGGTGATGTTTCTAAGTGGACCATTAGAAGTATTTCGGGAACGGTTTGGATTTTTGATTCGGGACACGTAGGTCATTACTTTTTTTGAATAATCATTTAAACATATTTTCAAGATGTCTGCTTTTCCGGTAGTATCAGAACGATACCGGAACTTTCTTATTTCAAATGGCACTATCTTTTCTGATGCCATTTTTGAATTCCTCATAAAAATCAGTATGATTTTGTCAATTGATGCTAACTGACATGGTTTCGAGGTTATTTGGCATTTTTGACATTTTTTGACAGTTTCAGAGGTTCAGTAAATTAGCTATATCACTGTTGTCTGACAACTTGCAAAGTTTTTCTAAAGTGGACAGTATTTTTAGTGTTTTTTAGAAAAATGTAGGTACAATTTTTTATCCGTTTTTTATGCTCTTTCCATTGATGCATACCAACGATATGGTTTCTATTTGAAAATTTCGGGTTTTTGACCAAAAACCGATTGTCATCTTGAACGCTTATTCGTATTATTTTAGAATCACATTTGAAAATGAAAGTTCTGAAACAACCGGAAAAGCGGCCATTTTGAACATATTTTTAAATGATTCCTTTTGATAGGTTACCTACTCAAAAAAGGTAATGGGTCCCGAATCGAAATTCCAAACCGTTCCTGAAATACCAATCAGAATTAAAATTCATTATTTTCTCATAAACAAAATAGGTACAAACTTATTAAAAGCCGCATTTGTACCTATTTTATACCAAGCCTTTTTGGTCGCGGTTAAAAATATTGGCAGTAAACAAATAAAAGGTTGTAGGTTATATAAAATCCATATCTTTCATACCTCCCATAAAATGCATACGGTAAGCAATCTGTTGTATGTATCTGTGCTATAAGGAATGAAATTTCTCATCACACCTCTTCATGATTTACACCAGGACCATCCTGCAGCAAATTCAATTCTGTGCCTGCTTAGTTGCACTTGTAACCAGGATTACCTACAGTAGATTGAATATGTTGAAATTGGAACTACCCTATAACGCAATTTTATTTGCATATCTCGAGTGTTCCCCAGTGTTCGTGAATGTTCTTGAACATAGACACGTCACATCTCCCGGAAAGATTGCGTCACCTGCACCATCATTCTTTATCGCTCGATGTCTATCGAAATTTCTGGAACATTCGTTTCAATGATATATATTTTTTACATTTATTTTTAGCGTAATTATAAGCACTGTCTGGGAACAACCATATTTCACACAAAAATACGTAAAGGTGGCTTCAAATTTACCACGGCGCCATGTTCGGCAAAAGTAGAATAAGTTCACTTTGATTTGATTCTCCTATACAGTATTCTTTATGGAATTAACTTTTCTCTCATTTTAAATTTCGTTGTACGTTGATATGGCCATTTCGTACAGTCAAAAGGCTGAAAGAATATGTCTCGATAAGCTTCAATTTTAGTTTTTTTTCCATTTTTCTTTTCGAATAGGTATATAATGTTTACTTTGAGCAATTAATTGAGAGTGATTTCTTACTAAATATGTGTCCTCTTGAAAAAACGTTAGCTTGTTGAATGTTTTCCTCGTCATTTTCGGAAAATTTCTATACTGTTATGTTAAACATGCATAGTTAATTTAGCTCTTCACAGAAATCTTGCCTCGGAAATTCTACTTTTATTATCCTAATTACGAGAATTATGTATACCTACCTCTACTTCAAACTTGTTAACGTACATTAGGTCGGAACTTAGAAGAACAATGGCAGTATAGAATTACCCATGCAAAGTGTATCTGAATTCTGAAGTCACGCAATATGTCACATACGCTATTTGTCTACATCAAGCCCGAAATATTTGGGTACAGCCCGATAATGTTGCAAATGACATATCACTCTTGAATAATCCAAACGGTTATTAAGAAATAATATTGATACACCATACAACAAACGTTTACATGCTGCAGGCTGCAGTGGGTGTTGTACAAAATCTCTGGAATTCTTGTGAAGGATATCGCATTCCATTTGGCACATGCCCATGCTTACCTACTGTGCTTTTTTGGCAGTAGCATTAAATAATAAACTTTCTTCAATGGCAGTAGGTAACTGGTCTACCTACACGTGCTGCAGACGAAACATTTACTACCCCTCACTGACTATGATCTCGTATACTACACAACAGGTGCTTCGATTTTTTCTTGCAGGCTTAACATATAGTCCACTGTTTATGCACCTCATGTGCCAATTTAATTTATTTTTAATTTGGCAAATGACTTGAAGTAACATATTGCACTCTTGGTTTGAAATCTACTACACCTCTTTTGATAATTGAATGTTAAAGCTGTGCAGCAACATTCGAAACCACTATAGGTACATTGCGTTCCGCACTGTATGTGCGTGTAAAGGATTTACTCATATAGCGTTTTTTAGACTAATAATACGGCGGAATTAGTGAAACAATGGTGTTTAGAGGCATTTGCAGTAAAAGGTATGATCAAGAGGTATTTTAAAACCATTGAATGAATTAACTTTCACAAGATAGTGGATTTGGAGATTTGTAGGTTCGGACTCCATAAAATGTAATGAATAACAACTTCAGGATCTCCCTATAAGCTTATGTAAAATGCTATAGTTGAAGTGATTACGACATGTTTCGGAGCTTAACTAGTTCCATTATCAAGTA